CATCATCGTCATTATCATCATCATCATCACCATCATCATCATCATCATCATCATCATCATCATCATCATCATCATCATCATCATCATCATGCGCCCTCCCCCCGACACCTCCGCAACCCCGACTCGCATCTTTTGCACCTCCCTCCTCGTCCTCGCGTTCGCCCTCCTGTGGGCAGAACCGACGCGCCCTTCCCCCGAGAAACCTGCGAGACAATCGGCCCGCAAGCGCGCGCTCCCCGAGACCGCACCCCGCCAACCCGATAACTGCATGGGCACGGCGCCAATGAACCAATTCGTCTTTGGCGGAACCGAACGGCGCGGATCTGAGCTCACACTGGCCCGCCCGATATTTGACGCACCTCCCCGGAACGACGCCCGCTAAAATTTTGTCCGGGCCCGTAGAAATCCTAAGCGCACGCGCCAGGAAAAATTTGGTCGGGGCCCGATGCTATATTGTCCTGGCCAAAAAAAACTCGATCTGGGCCTGAAAAAATGCGCATGCCCCCTAAAGCTGTCGGGCCCCCAAAACATATTATCTGGATCCGAAAAAACTAGGCGCGCGCGCCCAACAAATATTGCCAGAGACCGAGAAATATTGCCCGGGCCCCGGAAAATATTGCCTGGGCCCGAACAAATGTGCATGTCCAAAAAAATATTGTCCACGCCCTGGGGCGGCCCTGCCGAAATCAAAATGGGCCTCGTCGAGTGAAAAGATGGGCGCGCCCGAAAAACGCCAGTCCACTTCGAATCGGGCGCCGCCCAAAATAACAATCTGACTCGCCTGATACTACAGGAAGCAAGCTTTGAAACATCGGGTCTGCCCGATTCGCTGCTGGGTGGTAGGCTTAGGTCGGGCATGTCCTCCGACAGACCAGATGTTGGACGACAGTTCAAACATAATTAACAGATAGACCAAACTATTTCAAAATAGTCATAACATCGTCCCCATTCTTTTTTGCTATTTTTGAATATCCCACCTGTAGAGGGACATGTCCGACTCAATGGTAGGCCACGTTTCCCAACCGCCCTCACTGGCGCCCGCCCAGAAGGGCGCGGCCGGCCGCGGGGGGGGGGGGGGCGGCGTGGGCCTGCGCGGCCCAGCAGGATGGGCGGCTCCCAGAGGGGGCCTCCCAGGGGGGGCTCCTGTGGGGTCCTGCGGGGCAACCGGCAGGCCCCGGGGGATCTCCGAGGAGGGGTCTGCGTGGCGGCCGGGCCGGCAGGGCCCGGTTAGGCGTTGGCCTCCTGCGCGTGTCTACGGCGCCTTGATACGAGGCCGATGTGGCATCACAGCAGCAATTCGGCCCCTGACTTTCGTCCTGGGTTAGGTTTAGTGAAGTGATGAATTTCGGGGTCTTTACGTGGGAAAAAACATCACTTCACTAATCTGGGGCCCCTGGGGCCTCAGTGGGCCCTGGGGCCCAAAATTAGTGAAGTGATGGTTTTCGGGCCTCGGACTTGAGGGTGGCGCTGTCGCGCGAGCGCGCGTGGGTCCTCTCTTGGGAGCTTTCGTGGAGTTCTCTCGGCGACCCTCCGCCAGTCTCCGGCGCGCGCCTCGGGCGCGCCCGAGGGCTTTGGCGGGGAGCCGTGCAAGGAATCGGATTTTCTGCTGCACCCCTCAAAACGAGCCCGTTGGAGGCTCCTATGTTTGCCTGGCGGAGTTTTACCAGGACCTCCTGCTCAGTGCCTCGCCTTCCCCTCCGAATCCTCCCCCGCGCTCGCGCCTCAGGGGCGCGCCTTCGACTGCGATGGGCCCACGACTGCGCCGACGTGCAACCGCGCTCGGTGCATATAGAGTCCAACTGATGCGCGCACCGGCTTCTTTGCCCAATGGGCCGTTCATTTGTTGCCCAAAACTCCAGACGCGCTTCACATGTGCCAAGCCCATTCAGTCGCCCGGTCTACACGCTAACCAACTAGGGATAATAAAGTTCGGGGTGCAAAGGGGATAATGAACGCTTTTTCCGGCATATCGGGTGATGATGCTGATGATGATGATCCTCGGCGCTCCTCGAGATCCTCGCTCTGATGATCCTTGGCGCCCCTCGAGATCTTGCACCTAATGTTGGTCCGCGCTCTGGAAATCATTTGCGATCCTCGCAAGGAAGGTCTCTCCCGCCAGGAAGCATCTCTTGAGAAAGTGAGAGTCCCATAGCCCTGCCACACGTTCGTGACTTGAGAAAGCTGAAATGGTGAGAATCCCATAGACCTGCCACAGGTTCGTGACTTGCGAAAACTGAAATGGTGAGCCCCCCATTGTCATGCCACACGTGCTTGGTGATGTTGCTAGTCAACATAAGAAGATAACAACTTCGATTCGCAACTCTCCCCCGCGATAAGAAAGTCCGGCCTTGCCGCCCTTCTCCTCCGACTAAATCTGTAGAGGCGGGGGATAACGACCTCTCCGTCGTGAAGGGGGGATGGTTTATTATCTGGGCGTTGCGATTCTGCCTGATCCAATACTACCTAGCCGCCCCGGCAAATCTTAGCAATGTGGTGCGAT